GTTTTTTTATCCTTTTCCGCGGAAAAAAAAAACTCGTATCAATTTTTTTCAAGAAGGTGACATTTTTTAACAATATCTTTTAACAATGTTATAGTTTTTTTTAGGTTGTTCGAGAATAGTTTGCGCGGTTTTGTATTTAATTTTTAGTATATATTTTGTGTGCCAGGGTGTGTGTGTGTGTGTGTGCGCGCGAACATTTTTAATTATAATTAAATTTTTACTTACCTTGTTACTTTCTTTGTCTTCTTGTTGATTCGAACACGCATCGCAATAAACCTCGACGAACGAACGCATTAACCGATTGAGCCATCGCACTTGGCTGAATGATTGTGAAGATTTTAAGTCTATATCAAACAGAAATCGATATTACACTAAGAACAAGGGTTTAGTTTCTTGAAAAACCTGTCGTACGTGCATGTCACCATAGCCCAGTGGTTAAAGCGATTTATTTTTTAGTTGCCCAAGGATGAGAATGTGGGTTTGATTCCCAGAATAAGATTATTTTTGGGTTTTTCTTTTTTTTTGGTGGAATTTTTTTTAAATAATAGCCATCTATTGTAGGGTTTAGTTAAGTAGGTCGTACATGCATCTCACTTTAGCCCAATTCGCTCAATTGCAGGGCTCTCATTAATTTATGGTAAGGTATTGGGTTCGATTCACCCCAGGAGAATTTTATTTTCATACTTAGGAAAAACTTAGTTGATATAAAAGTTTGGTTTACTAGTAATTAGGTCGTACGTGCATCTCACAGTGGCTCAGTCGACTCGACAGCCTGACTGTAACCTGATGTTAACGTCGAGGGTTCGATTCCCACGACGAGAATATTTTTGTGTAATATTCAGTAGAGACTAGATCTATATAGACTAAATAAGACTCGGAAGTATTCGTCTCTGTGGCTCAGTGGTTTAGAGCGATGGGTTGTGGAGTAGACCACTGCGGGTTCGAACCCTTCTGAAAGCGCATGATTTATTTTGCCATTACCTTTATGTGGTGATGTTGCTAGAGCTATATAGATAAAATTGCACAAATATTCATCGTCTCTGTAGCACAGTGGATAAAGTGTCCTGCCCGATCACTTCCTCCATAATCGTGGGTTCGAATCCCAATGAACGAAAACTAAATTTTGGCTATTTCAATATAAAGTTCACATATAAAAAGGTTAATTTCTGCAATATTTGTCGTGTCCGCCGTAGCCCTGTGGTTAGAGCAGTAGCCTGAGAGCTAGACGATCCTAGATCGGATCTCGACTGGGGTGAGTAGTAAACCATTTTGAACATTTCTATATAAAGCTCACATATAAAAAGGCTAATTTCTTCAGTGTTTGTTGTGTCCGCCGTAGCCCTGTGGTTAGAGCAGTAGCTTGTGACCAAGACGAACCTGGATCGAATCTCGTTGAGGCCAACGATAAAAGTAACTATTTTGAACTTATAAAAGATTCACTATCATTTAAAAGAGCTTAAATTTCGTGGTTTGGTAACGGGTCTCTATGGCCTAGACGGATGGATGGTGGACTTGGGTGAGAACTCTGTTTCGACGGCGAGGGTTCGAACCCAGGTAAATCTCTAGAGGCTTTTAGTCTCGACACTTCTCTATCGCTTTCCCCCCTAAAAATATTCTATATAACTTACTTAAGGTAAGTTGGGGGGTTGAGGCGTTGGGCCTGCCGCAGGCAAGACACTATCAATAGATAGAACGAGTGGCAGGTTGGAAGAAAGAGAGTCAAGGAGGGGAGCCGAGGGGCAAGCAGGTGCCCGGGACCCTCCAAGATTCTAAAGGAGTGGAAGATACTTACTATTTTAATACTACTATAGTAGGCTGTGACTTTGAACTTTAAATATTACTTACATACACATTTTTGAAGGTTAGCTTTTTGGCCGTGGTCGTAGAGTTGTTCATCCCCTCCTTGCTTTTTTCTATCATTTAGACGTCCCGGGTTCGATTCCCACTCAAACCCAACTTTCGGTTTTTAAATATCTAGCCAGATATTTTGGACACTTTCTAGTGGTTTTTGAGCCCACTAAGGAAAATCTTTGCGATCACCTGTGGGGTTCGAACCCACCAAATTTTCTAGTAGCATGTAACTACTAAGGATGACCCTGTCACCCATGGGATTCGAACCCACGCTTTTCGCCACTCCGTGGCTTTTAGTTGACCAGCGCTCTACCACTGAGCCATCCAGTCGAACACAAACTAGGAATTTGTATCCATTATAACTGTAATCTTATATTTTAAATAAGATAAAAATACACAGAGAACTTTCTCTATGTGGGAGTCGAACCCTCGACCACTACCCCGTCAGACCAGCGCTCTTACCACCTGAGCCACCTAGACTGACGAAGTAGTCAATAATTTAACATACTTGACTATAGTCCACGAAGAAGATTCAAGAAAAATCTATCCGGACTCTACCAGGGATCGAACCCTCGACCATCACATCGTAAAATACTTTTCACATCCTCTCTGACCACTCGTCCACCAAGACCACACTGTCATGGAGCGTTTAACAAAGGCCCAATCCTGGACTAATATCATCTTGCTGCTTTGGAAAGAGGTCGGAATAACGAGTTTATCTCGATATTCCGACCTCTTTCCAAAGAGAACAGAATTTTTCCAACCGACAATCGACCTAATTTTACTTTTGTGTTGGGCTGGTGATCGTCTTCGACCACTAGAAGATGTAGTTTTATAAAAAAAGATTTGTAACAATTCAATTCTCACCCTGGGATTCGAACCCACGACCAAAATATAGAGAGATCAACAATCTTACCGACTGAGCTATCTCAAAAAGAACGTGCATAGTGTTCACCAGCTGACCTAACCCGAGGAGACGCTGTTGTCCAGTCACTTGGATCAACCAGTCCGCTTTTTGAAATACTAATTTAAGGTAAAATCAAACCATATAACCTTTAAGTCGACAAGCAGTATTCAGTCAAGTGCGATGGCTCGATCGGTAAAACAGTTCGTCCGCCATCGCTGTGCAGCTATACGAGTTCGAGACCACAAGGTAAGAAGAAAAATTGAAGGTAAGAGTATATCATTAATCATATTGTATTTGTATTAAATTCTCTACACTATGCACGCACAAAACCTCAACATACACAATAAAACAAATGCACATGCAAAATCCTGCAAACATAAAAAATGAAATAACAGTTGTACTAATCAATCAATACATTAACCACGCCCACATATAAACTTAGTTGACACCCCCTTCACATTGCCAAATATTACCAACTAAAAACATTTTTTGAAGTACATAGGCGAGAATAAAAGGGGAAAATAATGCGATTATGTGACACTTTTGAAGAAGAGAAAAAATTGCAGTAAAATGTGAAATATTTGTTGTTTGTATTATCCCGCGTTACAACTAATTAACTGTAGTCTGTCTGCATAATTATTAAATGTAGTTACTTCCCTTCCATCGGAATCTATGACTGAAATTTTGTAATTAATACGAATAAGTCATGATAACAACAGAAAATTGCGTTATATACACGAAAATTTTATATGTTAATATGTGTACTTACAGGCACAGATTCGCCCTCCGTTTGACCAATCGTACCCTAGTCTCAGAAACGGGAATAATTGAGCTTATTAGAAGAGAAAAAAAATTGTTTGTTTGTATTATCCCGCGTTACAAACTAGTTAACTGTAGTCTGTCGGCGATATTATTAAATGTAGTTATCTCCCTTGATCATCGGAATCTATTAATGCGAATAACCATCTCTTGCTGACAACAGAATTTTTTTTTAAGGGGGTTCAATTTGAGCGAATTTAGTCCTTCAAGTCATCTAAATTTTACAGGGGGAGGGGCAAAATTTACTCAAGGAGGAGCCCCCCCACCCCTACCCGCACCTTCTGCCTCCCTCTAGCTACGGACCTGACCCAGCCCCGTTGTTAGGGTGGGGTTGAGCAAGTGAGAATTAAGCACCAGCAAAAACCTCTTCAGTTCATCAGAGATTGATTCATTTACAGTGTTTTTGTACAAAATCAAAATGATATAGATTTTGATACGTTTTTGGAAGCTCAAATTCTCAGAAATGAGTTCTCTAGGTCTATAATTCTTCAAATTTTCTGAGTACAAAATCTGAGCCCCAGCACCAATTTATTCCTGTTGACGGGACTGCCCTGACGACAACCATCTTCACAATTGTCATATTATTGAGTCCATTGGTCGGAGCGACGTCGGTTTCAACGTTTCTAACAAATTTAGACGAACAAGGCGGGAAGAATACCAATGACAAAAGTGATGAAGTGGAAGAAGACAGCCACAGATAGTATTACAGAGACATCACAAATCTTTACTTTGGGACCTTGGCCAGTGCTTTCATGAGACTATGTTCTCATCACCATCAAAGACCAACCAATAAGAATTGTACATTTTATTGTCATAATATTTTATCTTCTATACAAATATACAAAATACAAAACTTCAACAACCATTTTACCCCATAAGGCTTGGAATTTGCAACTTGCAAAAAACCTTTCGAATATGGACATATTGGCACCAGAGATGCCAGCCATAAGCCTACCTTTGGCACCAGCCACGCCATATCTTGTAATCTAGTCTTAAACTCTCCTGATCAGTGAGTGTGCTCACTTTCTTTCTTATATATTCGAGAGTTAACCTCCTTTTCCAAAAATAACCATCCTGATGATGATTGTTTGTCCAAAACATGTTTGAACTCTGACCAATTGAATAGAAATCATAACCAGTGTAAAGTTAAATATTGAACCCTTGATATTGAAAGACCTTATTCTTATCACTAATTTTGATTTAATGTTTGGTTTAAGTATATTTTTCAACCAATCAGATTCATTAAAATAATAATCACAATATAGGAATGGTAGATCAAGGGATAGACTGACTCAATTCTGACTCAAGCGCCTTTCATAAATCAATCAAAGATTTCAAAAAATAATTAATGGTAGATGAAGGGTCAGACACAGGGACCGGTGGATCAAAGGTGAAAAATATCTGACTCCAACACCAAATGACTTCATTTGTAATCTATCGGAAATATTAATGTTAGAATTTTGTATATTAAACTGATGGATCGAGGGTGAAACTTATCTGACTCCAACACCTTTGTTAAATCAATCAAAAATTCTGAAAAATCACTATACAAGCCATATAAATGACTTCATTTGTGATCTATCGGAAATATTAATGTTAGAATTTTGTATATTAAACTAATGGATCGAGGGTGAAACTTATCTGACTCCAACACCTTTGTTAAATCAATCAAAAATTCTGAAAAATCACTATACAAGCCATATAAATGACTTCATTTGTGATCTATCGGAAATATTAATGTTAGAATTTTGTATATTAAACTAATGGATCGAGGGTGAAACTTATCTGACTCCAACACCTTTGTTAAATCAATCAAAAATTCTGAAAAATCACTAGACAACAATATCAAGCCATATAAATGACTTCATTTGTGATCTATCGGAAATATTAATGTTAGAATTTTGTATATTAAACTGGGAAATGTTTTGAAGTGTAGAGAGCTTCAGAGAGAAAAGTTGATATAATATATTTATAAATCAGTCTGATTAAAATACGGATCTTTTGTCTAAAAGAGATTGTAAAGAGGTTTCCTAAATATTTTATGTGTATCAGTGACATTGATAGCATCGATTTACACCTTTCTAATTTTCAATCAGACGTCTGGGGTTCTTTAAAGTGATACTACGTCTTAGAATGAACGTAAAATTAAATTCTCGAGAATGGTCAATATGAGTCTATATTCATCAGTGAACTTACCTGGTGTCATAAAGTTACAACAGAATCCCTGGAAAATCTAGAAAATTGGAAAATTCATAAAACTAAGTAATTAATGAAAAACGCTTAATCTTGATATTAGGCGTTTTTCAATAGTTAATTGCATATTTATGAATAATTATTAAGTTTTTTGGATTTATGGGATTATATAAGGATCCTGTTATGTTATTTATGACACCAGGTATATCTACTGGCTCTTATTGGCCAAGTTTAAAATTTTTAAATTTTATGTCCATTCTAAGACGTAGTATCCCTTAA